CCGCCCGCCCGCACCCCCGCGCTCCCGCTCCATCCCGACGCCGGCGCAGGGCGGCGTGGCGCCCACACCCGCGACCGCTGGGCGCGCGGGGTCCATTGTAAACAAGCCGGGACCGAGCCCCGCCGCAGCCCGGTGTCAGGAGGGGGACCCGCACAGCCGCGCTCCGCTCGCACACACGGACACACACACGCACGGACACACGCGTCCACACGCAGCCACACGCTCCCACACACATGTAGAGACCGAAGAATATTCACCTTGGCTGTGGATTATTGTGGTGTTGTTGGTGGGTGATGGAGATGGTGGTGGTGGGGAGGAGGAGGAAGAGGAGGAGGAGGAGGAGAGGAGTAGTTGTTGTTGATGGGTAACAGTCGCCAGGACTACGGTGACTATGGCGCTTGATTCACAAGGCAACGGTTGCTATAACTCACAAAAGAGAGAGAGAGGGAGAGAGAGAGGGACGAGAGGGAGAGGGAGACACTCGCGCGGGGAGGGGTGGGGGAGGGAAGAGGGGAGGAGGCGGGCCGGCCGGCCGCCGGAAGAGGCGGGCCCAGCGCTGACTGACGGCCCCCGAGCCGGGCGGGCCGGGATTCCGACGTGGGGCTCTCGGAGGTGCGCTCGGGCTTGGCCGGGGCTGCGGTCGGCGAGGGACCGCTCGGCTGTGCGAGTACGCGCGCCGGCGAAACTGAGGAGAATTTACGGTGGCGGCGCGAGGGTGGTTTTCAAGGCATGGGAGCTGCCTGTCCAAGCAGCCAGCTGTGCGACGAGAAGCCCCAGTGCCTTGAGAGGGTAATGACCAACCCAGAGGAGGGGGGAGCGAGGGCGACTCCAGGCACTGTGGAGAGACGAGTTATGGCGGGGGGAAGGATCCACTCTGAAGAGCAGCTCTCGCCCCGCCCCGGCGAAACGTCACTTCCGGGGCGGGCCCGACGGAAGGCCCGGATATGTGGCTGCTCGCTCTCTCGTCGCTGAAGCGGCGGCTGTGGTGTGCTGGTACCCTTATCCTCGTGGCGCATTCCTTTCCCGGAGTGATGGGGCATTCGCTGGATGGGAGGCTCGGAACTGCCATCCTTTCTGTTTCTCCCTCGCCTGCTCCCGCCTTCTGAAGCCACAACTCCGGGGAGAGCAGGCGGCGGGGCGTGAGAGCGCTGGCGCCGCCGCCATCTTAGAGAAGGCGAGCCCGGTGCGCGTGGGCAGCCGGCCGGCCTCCCGCGGGCAGTGGAGGTGTGGGCGCGTCTGGCCCTCACTCGGGAGCGCAGAGGCGAGGTCTACACTCCCTTCCCTACAGGCGGGGAGTAAGTGCTGAGGAGGGCCTAGAGTGCGCTCTCGGAGGAGGAGGGAGCGCTCAGCCCTGCCCCGGGGACCAGGCTCCTGATCGCTCGTACTTGGCCGCTGCAGCCCTCCGTGAAGCGTTCAGCCTTCGTAAAGTTGAACGAACAGATTTGAGCTAAGTCTTGCAAACTGTTAATTTGCATCACTTTCGCCCCCTTCCTTGAAAACCACCGCAGCAAAGGGTCTTGCTGTTCCCCTGCGACATGGACACAGGACCGAATGGTCCGTAATGAGGCAGTCTGGCCTCCTCGCGAACACCCGTTGAGAACTCCGACGCTAGCGCTTCGGTGGTTCAAACGCATTGGCCACGTCTGCACCCTGCAGCGGAGCAGGCGCGTGCCCCTGGGCCCTGGCAGTACCCAAAGTCTCTTAATATTTGCAGCTAAGCAGCTTACCCAAGACAATGATGTGTTAGAAGCAGAGCCTTAGGAAGTCACTTCTCTTGAGGCTTAATTTTTGCACCTGCAAATCAGGGCTTTCGGCCGGCATGAGGTCACCAGTGCTAAAATACTGAACTCTTTTTCTCTGTGCCCCAGACCTTGTCCTAAGTGTTTTACATACATTATCTTATTTAATCCTGACTACACTACTATTTCTAGATAGGCAATATTCTCATTTTAAGTAAAACAAAGTTCTAGAAGTCTGTGGTTATATTTTATCTCTTGTGTCAATGAAATTTGAGTCAGTGCATTTTAAAACCCGCTACTGAACTGAAAAATTTTAAGAAAGTAATACAGTTGCCTGTAGTAACAGTGTAGCAGCGCATAGTGCTAAAGTTAGGTTTCGTGAACCATTACCAAATAACAAAGTGGTGGCCAACAGTCCTTAGACTTGAAATTTAGCATATTCAGTTTACTTAGGACAGATAAAAGTCCTCTCTACAATGACATTAGGGGTGCTTTCTCTCACTGTATGAGTCTGAATAGCTTTGCTTTTTTGGTTCTTTTGTCTGTTTTAGTTTCCCTGTCTCCTCACTGTCAGCTGTTGCTTCTTATTGCTGTCAGTGAACATAGTTCTATTATTCTCCCCTCCCTTTTAATTTACTGCTTTTAATCTACAGGCAAGAAAACCACATAATAAGGTTTGTCCAACTGTCAAGTATAAATAGGTACTTAGAGGAAGTGACCCTTAGAAAAAAGCATGACCTTTGTGCTAGGTTATGGTAACATTGATTTTAAGCTGGTTAAATACATTTTCACCTACTTCATGGGTTGGTTTTTTCCTGAGCTGGGAATAGATAACATTTTTGTAAAGTTGAAATTTAAAATATTTTACGGTAGTGGTCCTAATTCATGAGTTAATGAATGAGATAATATTTCAGCGTTGCTGTCACGCTGAATCAATAACCAAGCTAACAATTCAAACTACAGAATCAAAAATATGATAGCTGGTATATACAATTACCGTTTTATACTATAATTAGTTACAAACACACCAAGAAACCCCTTTGCCTGTTCTCAGTCCTGGTAGGGTTGCCTTTTGCCTCATTTTTTAAAAGCAGATAGTTATATCTTCGTATGTATTTTACAGGTATTTCTTAAGGCACAGAAAAGACCCAGCGGTGTTAGGCTATTCTAACAGTTACTACAATGTAGGCTCAAAGATCCTTAACCCAAAAGTATTACACATTCCTTGATAAATTCCATAAACTGCCAGTATGATAATTATTTTCTGAGTACCTGAAATGTAGCAACATACTTCCGATCTTTAAAATGCCAAAGATAATTTTTCTGTGAGTTTAATGTATCATTTGAACTTGCTTTTTGCTGAGATTAGAATCATTGGCAAAGACAAAGCTTTACACATTTTTATCTAAACTACTTGAAAAACACAAAGCCCTGATTATATGTCTATAGATTATAAACTTCATAAATTACTATAGCACATTCTTAGGGGTAAATTTCAATTTTAGTCTTATGTACTAAAATATTTCCTTATTGCATATTCAAGGACTAAGTTATTTCAATATTAATGCCTGAAAAAGGAAAAGATTTAAAGTTAAAATACAGATATGCCATAGTTTTGCTTCCAAAAATTGTGTATCAGCACTTTGAAAATTAATATGTTCTGTGGCAGCTGACCTTTGAATTTATGGTCAATTTTTTAATAAAGCAGAACTCTCATTTTTAACATCTTTTCTCATTTAATTAGAATATTCTGTTTTCTCCAGTTGAGAGAAACAAAATCTTAGTCCTCGTGTGAAATGAATGGTTTTATTTCTATGAGTATTCATTAAGCACTTATGCAGAGCACTTGAAAATTAGACTACTAGATTACTAATTGCCTTCACTGGATCTGAAATTCTGTGGGTGTGTGATAATGACAAGAGACTGATAGAGGCAAAAGTGAGTTGAAACTGTAAATAGGGTCTGGGATTCAGAACCCAGTGTGCACGCACACAAAACCTATATAGGCTGTTACTATAATCTGCATAGGTTGCTACTATTCTCTGATAGCAGTATCACCCCTATCCCAGACTCAACCCCACCTAAAATATATTGTTTTGAAAGCAGTACAGTAAATTTTGGTGTCTACTTGTGTTTTCTTTGATACAAACCAGCTGATTGTTCAGCTATCCTAAATGTCAAGAATATTATACATATATGCATTTCTTGGAATTGAATTTTTATCCCAGTTCAGAAAAATAATTGAATCAAGTTGACACTCTCTTTGTTCAAGATAATGCAAATTATCTTTTCATAATACACATACTTCCAATTAGTTCAGAGCATGAAATAATATTTATAACATTAAATACCTCAAAATGACCCAAGTATTGATCAGCAGGAGGATACAAAAGCAAACTGTGATACATTCATAGAGTAGAATACTATTTAGCAATTAAAAAGAAAAGACTAATACCCACAGAAGTAAATATGAAAATCATGTTAAGCAAAAAAAGAGCTAGGCAGAGCTGGTGTGCTACATGTGAGGCTGAGGTAAAAGGATCACATGTTTAAGCCCAGCTTGGACAACTTAGACCCTGCCTCAAAAAATAAGCGTTGGAATGTAGCTCAACATAAACGTTCTGGGTTTAGGCCCTAGTACTAAAGGAAACTAGGCAAGCAAAGAGTAAATATGAATCAACATAAATGAAGTCTAAGAACAAGATAAACTAATCTGTGATTACTGTTTCCCTCTGATGGTGGGGGTGATGAGGTAGGATCTGGAAAAATCAGGAGGAAATTTCTTGGATGTTAGAAATGAACTGTACTCTCCAAGTTGGTAGCCACCCGCCACATGTTGCTATTAAAACCGTAAAATGTAAATTTTGCTTTCACAGCCATAGAGGTACATTTTAAGTGTTTGATTGCTGCATGTGGCCATGCCTACCCAATTGCAGATACAGAAAAGTTCTTTTATTTCAGACGTGTTGCTACACAGTGTTGTTATGGATCTTATTTTAAGTAGTATTTTATGAATGTGTCTACATTTGTCAAAATTGTAATCAGTGCACATATATATAGTAATATATGAGAACTATACCTGTCTCCAAGCCTCAAAAATTGTTCATGTAATTGTTTATTATGGTACCAGTTTGACTTCTCTTAATATTTTTGCTCATTGCAGAGAAATTACATGCAGTATAATTATCTGTGGCAAATTTTCAAATATGTAACTGTCATACAGTAGATCTTTTTTTTATTTGCTTTCAAAGAAAAAATCTGCACAATACTGAATAAATATAGAAGTGAATTTCTTTTGAAGGTTCTTTTGTTTTAAATGACGAGATTGATTTGCATGGAATATTTTCCCAAAAGTTTTACAGCTTGCTTCTTGTTTTGAAGGGCAGGGAACACAAATTACACATTTTAGAGTTATATGTATAAAATATTTACTTCTGGACACTCTTTGAAATTCTTTTTTTTTTTTTAATTTTATTTATTTATTTAGTGTGTGTGTGTGTGTGTGTGTGAGAGAGAGAGAGAGAGAGAGAGTGTGGCCAGCTCAGCCCACCAGGGGGCAGGGCTGGCTGGCATGTGGTGCTGGGGGATTGAACCACGGTCCCTGTTCTTTGCTAAGCTTGTTCTAAGTAGGTGCTTTAGACCACTGAGCCATCTCACCAGCCCCATGAAATTCTATT